AGCACTGGGTTATATTTAACCCAGCATTTTTTAGAGTGTAATATAATATAATGGCATAGATTAATATAATTAATTAGTAATACTTAAAAATGCATTATACTATTAAATAAAATTATATTAATTATATATATGACCTATTTTAATGTATTAAAGTTATTTTATATATACTGTCAAAATATATTTTATAGGCTAATATGTAATACTTTGACAGTATACATTAAAATCAATGGTTCTTAAGTAATTAGTTTATTTAATCATAAAATACATCAAGTATGCATTATTCATGTAGGCTACCTTTGTCTTTTTGCTTTAAATATTGTTTATAATTTTGCGAATAGAATTGGGGCTTGTTGGTTTAGCTTAAGGCTTAGAATTCTTTATCGAAGATGTTTTAGGGGGAGAAATAAATCTGAAGAATAATTTTGGAAGGCTGATGAACAAGTGGGCAGTCACTGTTGTGCTATTAGATGAAGGCCAGACCTCCTGTTTCAAGAGGTTGTAAGGGTGAATATGACATCTTCTAGAAACACATATACTAAAGTAATGAATTTTTGGCTGCATACATCTCAAATCTGCCTATAGGAACAGGAAAGCAATGTGATTATATGCGTGTGCGCTGGCTTTGCTCCAGCAGAGCACTCGGCACTATCAAAGCAGAGCTTCACTGTCAGGCTTAAAGGCTGTCTATCTTCATTACATAAAAGAGAAGTGCCTTCCACTCATCGATCCCGTCCCATCACAGAGCTAAGCTGTTGTCAGTTCAGCCATCGCAGAATAAAGGAAAACTTGTAATGTCCGTCATACACGCTCATCTAATGTGAATCTTCAAAGCCATCACAAGCAACACACATAGCAACATCAATCTGCAAAATAAAAGAGTTTGTCGAATCCTGAAAGCTAGAGACGTTGAGCTGAATATGAAATAAACAAATTGATTGGAAATAAACTCAGTGCACACAAAATGTTCTGATCATTATTTTAATGTTTAATAAGCATTATATATATTCTATCCAGCAAAATATGTGGCGGAGAAAATAGAGCACTCATGAATAAAATCAATGCAAACTTTCACAGTAACACTGCCCTGTTTTCTTCCCTTTAGTCTGAACTACAGTGGAATGTGTTTAGCATCAGATGCCCAGTTTAGTGACTTTCTGGATGGGATGGGACCTGCTCAGTTTGTGGGCAGACAGACACTAGCCACAACTTCAATGGGTGAGTGCACTTACAGTATATACATCAAACAGTTAATGCTGTCTCACATCGTACTGTAGTACAAGTGAACTCTTTTTCATGCAAATAAGTTAAAGTTAGCCATATAAAAATACACATTTTTGTATTTTATTGTGTCAAAGGATCATTAAAATCATGCATTATCTTTGTAGATGTGTATATTTATACATATAAAAAGATGTCGATTTCTGCCTAATCTCCAGAAATCGACATCTTTTTATATGCACAATAACTGGTTGGTAATTGTCAGAGCTGCTTGTCAAAAGGTTGTTTGTATGACAAAATATTCAATAAAATAGAAATTAGTATGCGTGAGAAGAGATGTGCTTCTATTTTGATGCTTCCAAAAATGATAATGAAAAATAGTTTTCAAAAGCCTGAATCGCTGATAAAATTAAAGAAGCAAAATCTGAAATATAGGTTAATGAAACAACATATTGTGCAGAATGTAATTTCAAGAAAAGCTTACCAATACTTATTTAATTCTCAAATGTTGTTGGGGTATGTTTCTGTAATATGAAAGATATAGTCCCTGAGATATAAACAATAACAGAACATGTTTATATGGTGGCTGTTTAGCCAAAATTACCAATGAGCATCCAGGACTCAAACTATCCGTTTATAATCAATAAAATAACATTAAATAAGACAGTGTAAATACAAATTACATTGTAATTAAAATACTGTTAACACTTCACAACAAGGTCTTATTAGTTAACATTAGTTAATGCATTTAATAACATTAACTAACAATGAACAATACATTTGTTACAGTATTTATTCTTTGAATAGAACTATTCATTTATAGTTCATGTTATCGCAGGTCCATTAAATAATATTAACAGATACAACATTTGATTTCAATAATGCATTAGTAAATACATTGTTATTAGTTTTTCATTGTTAGTTCATGGTAACTAATGTAGTTATCTAATGTTAACAAAGGAAACCTTGTTACAAAAATATTAAAATAGCTCAAATCAACACAATGCTGTTGAAAATAATGTCACTCACCCATGCCACTTGACACTCATTAACGTGCATACTGATGTTTGCAGGAGATGTTGAGATCGGTCTTATGGAGAGGAACGGACAGCTGGAGGTGGAGATCATTCAGGCTCGAAGACTCATCATGAAGCCTGGATCTAAGGGCCCTCCAGGTGATTCTTCATCAGACAGAGGGATGAGCCTGATAGCGATTAGATTCATTTAGCCAGAGCACAAAACTGACTGCAGATGTTTATAGACTGGTTCTCAAATACATAAGTTTCTCTTAGATTGTTTTCCTATTCTTACCTGAATATTCATTATCCAAAAGTGTGCGTGTTTTGAAAAAAGAGAGGAAATTGAAAAGAGACGTCTAAATCGGTGGCTCTTCAAAGTTATTTTCAATATCTAGTGTATTTCAAGGACGCCATTTGAATTATTATATTTTTTTGTTTCCTCTTCCCTTTCAGCGGCCTACATTAAAGTCTACCTTCTGGAAAACGGCATCTGCATTGCCAAAAAGAAGACGAAGTCCGTCCGGAAATCGTTAGATCCCCTTTACAATCAAGTCCTTGTATTTTCAGAGAGCCCGCAGGGAAAGGTTGTACAGGTAAACTTGATTTTTTTTACCTTTTCTGAAGAAAATGAGGGTTACTTGTGCAAAACTCGCTGCAATGAGGCTATGGTCCATCAGAGGGATTTTTACACATTGCTGTGCGGTTGCAAAGAAGTTCTGGGTGGTTTCTCTTGCTAATTTGGTTGTTAGAAATGCCTTACATTTTATTGTCCACCAAGCAAAAAATGTCCAAGTACTTTAATATTTAGCATTAGGGGTGGTTTAAATCTCAAAGGCTAAGTATGAGTAATAGAA